TGTGGGTTGCAGCCCATCCTTTTATAACAAAGCCACTAGCTTGCTTCTACGTGCTTCACCCTTACAGAATGCTTGAATCCTGGTATCATACCATTCCCCAAATGCGGCATGGTATGATATGATACCAGGAGACGTCGGACTCCAAACATCTCAAATTAAAAGCCTCCTCAATAACGTCTGATTGTATTTTGAAGTAGACTAACAACCGCACTACAGGGTCTGTATCGCTTTTTGTATATGGTCAACAGGTTTGTAAATGACAGCTGATGATACTCAAGAATAAGTATATCTTGAGAATAAGCTGCCGAAGCTTGTCAGTGACCGTCAATAAGATTGTGTCATGGTAACACAGCTGGCAATCTTCAGCATATCTAACTTGTACCCTTTAGTGCACAGTCTAATGATTCATACAGATAGATATATACACTCCTTCACACCCCAAAGTTCGCTTTCACAATTCTGCATTCTCCTATGGGTTCAGCTTCTTTCCAATGCAGATTGAAGAAGTTCCCGAGGACCTTACAAAACTCCTAGACTGTCACTGCCCAGCCAAAAGATATGCCAGCCACTTAGTTCACCCCCACAATTTACTGTGGAGATCGAACTTTCTACTATTAACTGGATCTCGTATAAGACATTTCCAATAAAGTTCATAAAATTATTAAGGAAAATGGATCACTAGCTTTTTGTATGAATGAAGCACCACAATAACTGACAGCTACTGCTCCAATAATAATGAGTGTCTCCAAATTATAACTTATAAAACTACAAATAACTAGAATAGATGAATGTTGCTCAAAAAACTTTATAGATTACCATATGAAAGTTGCTTTTAAAGGTAATAATATAAATAGTGCTCTCTATCTACCGGTCCGTGAATAACCTACCAGTCCAAAAGTAGCTGGAATAGCCCTTTAGGCTTCCAGCAATTAGGTGGGGAAAAAAATACCCCCTTTGCAGCCTCAGTACCAATTTCCTAATATATTTTGTATTTATTTAACTTTCATAAAAAAAGGTAAACTAGCAAAAAACCTTTTAAACTCAATTAAGAGACACTTTCTCTGAAGCAGAGCCTCAATCAATTTAAAATTACCCATCAAAAATATCAGTTTGTATTTAATGAAATTACTAGTTTACTTAAAACTTATTAAGTAAACACTTAATTAACTTCTGCTACACCAATTATTATCCTCTGAAATATACATATCCAGTTGTGATAGGCTATTTGGTTTCAGCATTTCACTTAATATGCATCTTTAATTTTTGTAATTAAAAGTCCATATTAACATCAACAGTTCGATGTTTTTGATTGAACTTTTTTTCTTATGATATTTTTTCCAAATTTTAAACTCCAAATGGCTCTTCTGTAAAGTTGTAAAAATGTCAATAAACGAAATAGCTTTTTACCCCTCGACATAATGTTTTTTTTTTAGGTCTAGGTTGTAAGCTGCAAATTTTATTTTTAAGCTATATAATACAGTAAATTGTACACTTACCAACATGTTGGTCTTGTCCAATAACTAAGATTCTTTCTGGTACCTTCATGTCAAATTTCTCATTAGCATAATCCCAACCTGAAACCATTCCATTGGGAGCTGTTTCATCATCAATTATATCACCTGTTGCCTGAAAATTAAAATAAATCTTACCATGACATTATTGAGGGTAGTAAGAATTGTACTGATTCAATATAAATTGGCATTTCATTATAGTTTTTGTATACAGAGTGTTTTTGCATAAAAAAACAATGTTTGGTGTTAAGGGTTTTTTACCTTTATTCTTTGAGGCACAGTCATATTGTGACTGATAAGGCGAGTATATGCCTCCTCAGGTGGATACTGCATACTGTTAATATTTATCTGAAAATAAATGTTGCATTACAATTAAAAGTCCACCACTGAAGTAATTAATTCGATTAATTGAAAGAAAATCTAATTTACAAAGAAATTAATGAAATATTTTTGGAATGCTAGATTATCGCTCATATACATACAGATGTGAAATTAGTTTCTTTAATTTATTTCATTTGGTTGGATTTACCAGAATACCGTTAGGAGGCAAATCCTAGTTTATTTTTCTCAAATCGTAATACTTTTAACTTAGATGTAAGTCCATTTTCCTTTGCAGTTTGCAACTTTGGAACCGTGGTTGACAGCTGACAGCTTTTTTTGTAAAATAGTAAGGGCAAAGGAAATTTAACTCACATACTAATAATGCTGGTATCCAAAGATTGGAGTCAGGTACCAATATTCTAATAAAATACGTTCTTGACACGTAATCACGACTGACTTTTACGATGAAGAAATAATATCATGTAGGTTTACGTTATTAAAAATCAAAACTGTATGTATTTTTGCTAATAACTGCCCAAGCGTTTCCGAAAGAACTCCAGTACATCAAGATGGTTGAGTTTAGTGATCTCTGCTTCGGCTGCTACTGAGGTTGAAATTTTGGAAAGTAAAAAAAGCGCGTTTTTTTATTGAGTATGACCATTTATTATTGGTAATCAAATACAGTATGATATAATGTATCATTAATGATAATATTAGAATACTGCTGGTTTTTTGGTTACGATTACGATAACGGAAACTATTATCGTGATCGCTAGATGGTGTACTTAGTAAATTAGGTAGGATGCGTTCGGAAATATTATTAATTAGTACAGTTGAAATAGTCATCGATATAATGGCGTAGTATATGCCTTGTAAATACCTTCTGATAAGATTACTGATTTGTGAAAAAGGTGCCCAACAAAAATTTTTTGAGAATAAATATGTGAGAGAAACTGTCGGTCCTTCGGGGTCCCCTGAGAATGGGGGCCTGGGCACGGGCCCCGTGTGCCCTTATAGTAAAGATGGTATTGGTCCGGTGCATTCGTATCTAGCGATGCACCGGTGTTTAATCCCGTCGGCGGGTACCAATTTTTCTAATGAAATACGTATTTAACAAATGTTCACGATTGACTTCCACGGTGAAGGAATAACATAGTGTAATAAAAATAAAAAACTCGCAAAATTATAAATTGCGTAATTATTGGTGGTAGGACCTCTTGTGAGTCGGCACGGGTAGGTACCCTGCCTATTTCTGCCGTGAAGCAGTAATGCGTTTCGGTTTGAAGGGTGGGGCAGCCGTTGTAACTATACCGAGACCTTAGAACTCTTATCACAAGGTGGGTGGCGGCATTTTCGTTGAAGATATCTATGGGTTCCGGTAACCACATAACACCAAGTGAGCTAGTCCACCCCCAAAAAAAACAAATTTTGGTTCCATCAAGATGAGTTTAAGGAATAGATTGGCTGACTCCTATGTACATATCTGAGGCATAAGGCTGTCGTTACGAGGAGCCACAGTAGTATATATTGCTGCTATAAAATAGCGTTCTGAAGTTATTTACATACATTAGCTATTATAATGGATGGCAACTACTACGTGTAAGGGAAATAACTCCTAAATGTAGCATTCCGATGTTGGCGACCGTGACCGACGCGGACTGCGACAGGGAACCGCGACCGGGTCGCGCGACTTACTTTTTTTTTATGATTGAAGGATTACTGGTGGCCCGTAGGCCTTTCCAGTTTCACCAGGACAGGTGGGCGACCCAGGACAGGTGGGCGAACCAGGACAGGTGGGCGATCGCGACTTACTGCTTAGTATGAATTTATATGAAACCCTAAACAACGCAAGCGTCCCTGTCACGCGACCCGTGGGCGCGGCTAGCTAGCGACGTGGTCGCGCGACGCTACTACTACTGGAGCAGTGCCGCTGCGCGACCCGGCCACGTTGCACTTTTAAATGGTGTCATTTTCCACCCATTCTGACAAATTATTAATAGATGTAGTGTCTAAAAACCCACCTATATACGATTCGACACTCTAGTCATATCGAGATAATGTTATTCGAGACAATATTTGGGAAAAAAGTTGGCAAAATTCTTGTTTCTGAAAGCAAGGCAAACAAAATTCTTCTTCTTCTAATAAAATCTGTATAGCTCTTTATCTAGTTGCGGATAAATTGACTGAGCACTAGAATACAACTGTATACAATAAAAACTGCGGGCAGACTGGCCGTCGGTAGGAGTCGCTGACATCGGAATGTCTCTGGTACTCAGGCGATCAGGGTCGCGGTTGCTAGTCGCGGTCACCTGTCGCCCTGGTCGCCAACATCGGAATGCTACCTTTAAGTGTGTCTTTAGAGATCTAGAACTTGGCCGGGTACTTTCTCCAAGCTCAACATAAATAATCTTTGGCCACCAACACTAATCTATTTAGTCTGACTTTTTGGCAGGAACGCGAGGAGTGAAGTTGTGTGATTTTGTTTTATTTTGTTTATTTAGTGTTTCTTCAGGTTTAAATGTGTAATAAGGGTGGTTTATTAACCGTTTAATATTTATGAAAGTGCACAAATGTGAGAAAATGAAACAAATTTGCTGAACGTAACTTCTCGGGATCTTCCAAAAAGTCCATTGAAAAAGTCTCAGTAAATGACTACCATTTTACTGAGATTATACTTCATCCCATATCATCTCATTTCATTTCGTTTCATTTTCATTTCATTTCATACCATGTTTTATAATAATCAAATTCATTTCATTTCATAATATCATATTTCATTTAAAAAAGTAATCATTAAAATTAAAATTTCATTGCACCTTCCACTATTTACTCTGCACTACCTTTGGTTGACTGGTAGAGAATGCCTTAGGCATTAAGTCCGCCAATGTAAATTTTACATGAAGTGTAATAAATAAATAAATAAAATAAGACTTGACCTAAAGGTCTTAGTTACCAGGTCATAAAATCCCTTAAAAAATCTATTTAGTCTGTGACATGACTGTGTTCGTATTGGATAAAATGACAACATGATAACAACTAATTCCAATTAAATCGTGACATCAAATTGCACTATTATTTGATTGGTGTATACCTATGGTTGCCATGTGACTATAACATTGTTGTACCTTTGTCATTGGTCATATTTTAAGTGTATAATCTATGGTCATATTGTTTCCAACAGGGCTCGATTAAACAGGACACGAAAAAATTTAACATTAAATTTAAATTCTCTGACAAAAACTTTATTGAATGTTCGACAAAGAACTTAAAAATTATTTTAAATTTCTTCCTGAAAATTATGTTTATTTCAAACTAGTAAACTATAACTGTAGTAAGCGCTAAAAAGTATAAATTTCTTTGAAGTAAAAAGAAAGATGAAAATCCCCGGCTTAAGACTGTCGTTAGTGGTTTTAGCAATTGCTGTTGTGTCAGTGGCGTCAAATATAGATCCCATTAAACGAGATGAAAAGAAATCAAAATCTGTTACGACTTTTGTTAGTGCTAAATGGGAAGCTACACCTATTGTATTAGAACTCGCCGAGTATTTAGCTGGCGAAAGTTCAGATTTGTTTTGGTCTTTCGTTGACGGTATTAATTCTCTAAAATCTAGTCTTGACTCATTAGGTGAGTGAAGAAAAATTCTATTTTGTTTCGCGAGTATTTCTTTAACGTCACGCCAAATATTCTGTATTCAATTTACGTTCTTTATCAATTCAAAATTTTCGAATATTAATGTGTTCAATGTGTAGTAATGTGTATCTATAACATGATCAAAAACAATTTCGGTGTTGTTCAAGTGCTATTTTCTTTTCCATTTTAGAAAATGACAAACAAATTTATGATGCCTGTATTGGAGTTGCTAGTACACTATTGGCTCCGGCACAACTTAGAATGGCTAAACTTGCACTTTCTATGCACACTACTTCACCAACAGTGCGTATGTTTGATCAAATAGCTATTCAGAACGGAGCTAAAGAAATTCAGTGCGACACATTTGTTAACATAGCAACAAACAATATTTGTGACAATGATGCGTTGAGAGATATACTTCAAACACATAATCTTAAAAATGTTGTAAGTATATACTGAAATCTTTGTAATAAAATAGGTGTGTTAGCAGTTAATTAAGTTAAATGTAACCTTACTTGAAAGTTGTGAGAAACTACTATATCATAAAGTTAATTGTAAGTATACCATCTACTGTTAACCTTTGGAGCACCCGACTGACATTTCAGTTCAGTAAGGCAAATTTTTTTATTAGTTCTAATGGCTAGATGATCAAGTGATATTACATGCTCAGAGATGTTCAAATATTTGTAGAAAAATATGTACCATACATGTCCAGATGCTAATTTACGGACTCTCGTTTGCAAACTACTGATGGACCGACACCTTAATTGATATTCCCATTGGACCTCTAGTAGATTCTTCATATTACTTTGTCATAGGGTGATTTATAATAATGAAATTTTTATTGACTCTATTGTTTAGGGTGATCAGAACAATGAAATATATCTTCTGGACCATACTCATCCAAGTAGTGACAACAAAAGTTTAACTGCCATTCTTTATGGGGAGCTTGGAACTAAGGATTTTGCAATGAAACATAAAATTTTGGCTGAATATGCTGACAAAAGTGCCATTAACTATGTTGTCAGATGGAACATCAAGGTTTGTTAAATTCGAATTCAACCAAGATACACTTTAAATCTCTTATCATTATTATAGTAACAAACATCCAAGTATGTATTATTTTCCAGACTCGTGGAAAACCTAAACTACGTCTATCAGGCTATGGAGTTGAACTTCAGTTAAAGAGTACAGAGTATAAGAGCCAAGACGATTCTACTCCAAAGGAAACAGAAGACAAAGAAACAGCAGCACAATCAGAGGAAGAGGATGAAAATGATCCCCAGAATCAGATTGATGGATTTAATTTTGGTAGATTAAAGTATGTTACTTTAGAATGTTTTCAAATAATATTATATCTTGTAAAAATGATACACAGTCCTTAAAATTTGAATTAGGAGCTATCTTCCCAAAAATATAAATGTAGATTAGTCTTGATGAAACACTACAAGTAACTCATAAGTAGATTATTATAATTAATGTTCCTAAATCCTATTAATGAATTACCAAAAACAATGCTTTTACAATACAACTCTATGCTGTCTTGGCCTTTAACCTAATTAATAATTTTCTTTGTGGTAGAATTAATGAGAATCTACCAGCATGGGCTTTGTATACTGTACTACCATTAATTTGCCAAAAATACTTGATAAATTAAACAAGGAACTGTTAAATTGCAATTATACTTGTAATTTAAGTTTCATAAAATACACATTCTAGCTTATATTTCAATTAATTTGAAAAGGAAGTGTAACACGTAAATACCTCATAAATATAGTACTCAAACCTATGACAAAAATATTAAGATACATAAATAAATCATTTTTTTAACTGTTAAATGATTTATATGAAAGAAACACTACAGGTTAAATTTGTTTACATGCCTGTATAATTTTTGAACTGTCTGAATGAAGTCAGTTGCAACCTAAAATAATATGTCAATTGTTGCACTTTATCTAAGGCTATAATGATTAACTTGATGGAACGTTGTATGTAGCACTTTTAAACCATCATGACCATAACCAGCCATAATAAAATTTATATGTTTTATAGTTAAACCTATGTCCAAATCGCAATTAATTACACAATTAAAGGGAAAACAATATGACGAGAAAAGCTGAAAATAACAAATAATATAAATGAAGAGAATCTCGAAAAATTTGCGTACTTAAAAAACCATCAAAGTAATGCTCTATCTGACAGCTAACAGCAATCATATCTCATCAATTAAACCAAGGCACAAATGCTCTAAGAGTTAACGAATTATGTTTGAAATGAGATTAGTTCAAGTAAAAAGTCATACCGAAAACTTTAACGTTTAAAATGTACGAAATCACATGTGGAATACAATAAAATTATATTGTGCAGGAATCTATTTCCTGCTTTACGAACACCATTGGAACGGTTTCGACGACACTTATCAGAATCTAGTGAAGAGCTGGCCCCTCTGAAAGTATGGCAGATGCAGGCATTGAGTATGCAGGCTGCCGCTGCAGTTGTGGATGCGAATGATGCTGGTGGAGATGAAGCTTTAAGAGTTCTCACATCTATAGCTCAGAATTTTCCAATGCAGGTACATCATTATTTTTCATAATAATAAATAAATAAAAATTATTTATCTTAAATTTCACAATGATTACTCCTATGTTTTGTAGACAAAATCTCTTATACACGTCAGCGTCCCGCGCGCTTTCCGCGATGAGGTATTGTATAACCAAGACATATGGGCATCAGCATTGGGACTGCGGCCAGCTGAACCGTTGTTGTTAGTGTCAGGAGCTCAGTATGACGCTGAAGATGTTGATGTGATGGCTTTGCTTGCAGCATTGAGAGAAGACATTGGGCCAATGAATACATTACATGCTCTAGGTATGCATTATATAATTGTTCATAAAAAATCTAGAAAAGTAAAATAGAATAAGAACACAATAAAAGCTTAGAAATTAAGGGTAATAAGCCTTATGTACTTCAATTGCACGATGCAACTATGTCTGTCTTCATATCCCAGAGACAGGCAACACTTTTTGTAATGAAATAAATATTGAACTCATATTCATAAGCAACTTCCACAACAAAGGAATAACATTTTGTAATAAAAGTCAAAGCTGCAAAAAGTATAATATGTATGATTACTACACAAATGAGATATAGACCTCAAGCAAATGGCCGCATTTAATTGAGACATCTATGTGCTCCATTAACTGTTTAACACCTCTTTCACCAACTAAGCAATAAAAAAAGAGTAACTACTTAAATTATTCCCAGATAATTTTTTTGTCACTAAACATTTTGATTATAAAATTAAACATAAATTCATCAGCATCGAGATTCGAAAGCATCAGCAATCACAAAGTGATATTCTTAAATTTTAAATTGTTATGGAATTAAATGCTTACCATTTTCAGGTCTCCCTAAAAAGTTAATACATACTCTCATGTCATTGGATTTGGGCGAAAGTTACACCTGGGAAGAATATGGTCTTGATATCCGTGATACATCAATAACTTGGCTCAACGATCTGGAGTCTGACGATAGGTACCGCAGATGGCCTTCTTCGTTTATGGAATTGCTTCGGCCCACATATCCTGGCATGTTGAGAAATCTCAGACGAAACATATATAACTATGTAAGGAAAGATAAGACTGAATTGCTCCTTTACTATATTAAAGATCATTGATGTCTGTAATATTCAAGAGTTCTAATGATATGTAAATTATTTTTGCAAAATTTTTCTTGCATGCGACTTTTCATAAGTGAAACCAATATGATGTTGAATTTGAAATTTTCAGGTCATCATAATAGACCCCACATCGGTACAATCTGGTCCACCGTTAAAGTTGGGTGAAACGTTGTTGAAGCATGCGACTCCAGTACGCGTTGGGTTAGTCCTAGCGTCAACAAAAGGAGACGCGTCTTTAGAAGCAGCAGTCAGGTCCGCATTTAACTACATAGCGCAGGAAAAGAATTCCAATAAAGAGGCATATTATTTCCTTACTCAGGTACATTGCAAATTGAATTCAAACTTATATCAAGCTTTAAAATTTTGAAAAACTTGTTTTTTACCAATTTTATTTCATTTCTTCAGTTACTGAATCCTTCTGGTGATGACGTATTAGATATTAATTATGTGAAGAAACAATTGAAGCGACACGCGACTTCCGGTGCCAGTATTGAAGACATTATTTCAGAAGATTCCGAATATAACTTTGGACGTCAAATCTCAGAAGAATTTGTATCTAAACTTGGCAGTGACAAGTATCCGCAGGTACATTTCCACATAAATAATAATTTTGGTTTGTTACTGAATCAATTCAGTTCTTTTATATTTTTTATTGCTTAGATGGGTGGACGAGCTCACAGCCCACTTGGTGTTAATTGGTTACTCGAGCCCATAGACATCTACAACGTAAATGCGCCACCCACCTTGAGATTTAAGTTCTAAGGTCCCAAGTTTAGTTACCGTCAGTATAGTACTGGTCAGTTCAAACAATTCAATTAAAAAAAAAAACTGGAATGCTTTCGTTTACAGTGTAGCTGCTTCTTAACGCAACATAAAACAATATTTTTTTAAACTTTGAATCATCTATTTTCGACTCAGGTTTTGATAAATGGAGTACCACTAATGGACGAAGGCCCAACGCCGGTGACGTCGTCGGTCGAATTACTCGAGGAGTCGCTGGTGACGTCACTGTCTCGCCACACAGCTCGTTTGCAGCGTGCTGTGTTCCGTGGTGAATTGTCCGATATGGATGACGCTGTTGATTACTTGATGAAACAGTCCCATATTATGCCACGGTAAGATAAAATTATTCACATAATATAATATAATATATTATAGTAGTATGGCACTACAGTTACTGTTGCCATTGCATTGCATGAATAGAAATTGGAAATTTCTAAAAGATCCTAGTTAGTTATACGAGTATATTCAAATTATTTCCTTAAGTAATTGTTTTTCAAGCACTGAATTAATTATTTTTAACAGGATAAAAAAGCTCAGGAAAATTTAACCACACATTTTAGTATCATATTTCATATGTGTATGTAAGTATATGTGTACATATGTACATATTATTATAATAATATATATTTCACCCGATAAGTACACCGCGTGTAATTTGATTCTTAGTGATTCTTTTCCACCGGATGTTTGTCTGGAGGAGATCGCTCTTAACGATAAGACCGCCCATTGTAGTTTTTCTTTTGTATCTAATGATTTACATTTTTATTTATTTTGTGTACAATAAAGCGTTCTCTTTCTGTCTTTCTCTCTCTCTTACTCTCTGTTATATGTTTGCTTGCTTTTATTTCATCTTTTTTATTAAATAAATATGTGTACAGGCTCAACCGTCGAATCCTCAGTTCAGAAACTTCGCAATACTTGGATTTGACCGGTGCCTCTTCACCTGCCGATTTGTTTACAGAAGATAAAATTCACAAACTATTACATTTAACAGGTAGGAGATTGGAATGAACAAAAAATATACAAATGATTAACGATACTATGCTATTATGTAAATATTTTTTGTATTAGGACGTGACGCGTTAGCGACTGCTCTACCAATTTTGAAGTACTTTTATAAACCCGGTAAAGTTGAAAAGAAGATAACGCAAACTATTTGGGTGATCGGAGATTTGAACAACCATGAATCCCGGGGACTATTGAGGAACGCTCTTACGTTTATGGTAAATAAATTGCCTATTTTTACGTGCAATACAAATTTTCTTGGGTGAAATAGTAAAAAAAAATTAATACAAATTTTCATTGGTAAATTTGTATATTTGTTCATTGAGTTGCGAGTCGAAATTTTAATAGCACGAGTTGATTTTAAATTATTAAATTTAGTAAAACAGACAAACAGAAATTATTATTAAAGGGTATAAATTAAATTCGAATTCAATCACTATTTTCTTGTAATATTTACATTTAAATCTTAGTTTACTAAGTAAAATCGAGAAATTCTATCATTTCATGTGTTTGAATTATAATTTGGTTTATAGCACAAAACGACGCGTGTATAAAATGTATAGTTAGTTCGTCATTTATTTTATCCTCAAAAGACCGCAACGCCGAAAACCGCATCGAAGTGATTTAGTTATCGCAATTTCTACTATTATTTTAAATGTGCAAGTTTGAATGTTTGGATTCTTTTAATTAACTTGCTAATAAAATCGATGTGATAAAGATAGTACATGGATTAACACACAGTACAATTTTATCCCGGAAAATGACCGAGCCTCTGATCAGCAACCCTTTTTTCAGGTAAAATGCAAGGTATTTCATTATTTCTTAATTACATATCCAAGCCCTGTGAAATAACGGGTCACTACTCTAGTAAATTTATATAGATTCGTATAAAAGGGTCGAACATATAAATTTATAATGCTATCAGTACAATATATAATTAATGTATTTGTTTCAGAGAGAATCCAGTGGCGTGAGAGTAGCGTTCATACCAAACGTGGACAGTACAAACGATCAGTCTCTGAATAAAGTAGTGGTCGCGGCTCTTACGACGCTCGAGTCTACGGAAGCCACTAAATATGTTGTAAAATTATTAGAAGACGAAGGTTGTCATGAGAGGAAAGACTGTGATGTTTTGGTGAGTCACACAACAAAAACACTTTACTTTAAAGAGTCCTTCACATGGTTTTTTTATAAATAAAAACACAAAAAGCGTACTATTAATTGTTGACCACTCGTTAAATATTTCATGCTATCTTGTTTTATATGTAAGTTAATCATAATCACAGAACGATATAAGGAATTCCTAATTTCGTGCTAGGCATGGTAGGATGCTACTTTGAACGATAACGTCACTTTAGTTATACTATTAAAATTTTATAACGATAGCAACATTTTACTTGTGGTAGGACCTCTTGTGAGTCCGCGCGTGTAGGTACCACCACCCTGCCTATTTCTGCCGTGAAGCAGTAATGTGTTTCGGTCTGAAAGGTGGGGCAGTCGTTGTAACTATACTGAGATCTAAGAGCTTATATCTCAAGGTGGGTGGCGCATTTACGTTGTAGATGTCTATGGGCTCCAGTAACCATTTAACACCAGGTGGGCTGTGAGCTCGTCTACCTATCTAAGCAATAAAAAAAAACATTGTAGTTACCTCAAGTTAACTCAAATTTATATGGCGTTGGAACAGCGCCCCTAGCGGCAAACGTAGGCAAACGTTCCAACTCCATACAAATTTGAGTTAACTTTCACGCTATCGAGAACGTTAAAAAATTCGCACTGAGTACACACTATATCCTTTACAGCCTGAGATAATACCAGCATTGAACAAGTATGAGTGGGTCCTGAAGGCAGCTCGTGTGTTGTGCGCTCGAAGCTTCAAGCTGCGGCCGGGAGCTCGGGCGCTGGCGCACAACTCGCGGCTCATCGGACCGTTTCTCGACAACGAGCAGTTTACTTTGGACGACTTTGTATTGATGGAAAGGTAAGCATTTCCATTTTTTTTAAAGGGATTTTATGAGCTGGTAACTAAGACCTTTAAGTCATATCTTATTATAATTTAAATTCTTATTTTTGAAAAATGATAGTATGGAGTGAAATGAAATGAAGATGATTAATTTGAGATCAACTGGAATGAAATTTAATGAAATGAGATGATATGAGATGAAATCTAATCTCAGTAAAATGGTAGTCATTTACGAGATTATTTCAGTGGAATTTTTGGAGGATCCCGAGAAGTTACGTCCAGCGGCTTTGTTTAATTTTCCCACATTTGTCCACTTTCACAGATATTAAACAGTTAATAAACCACCGTTATTACACATTTAAACCTGAAGAAACACTAAATAAACAAAACAAATCACACAACCTCACTCCTCGCGTTCCCGCCAAAAAGTCAGCATTTCTATTTCATACAACCAAAGGTATGACTGCAGTCTTAACTTAACCGAGCCCGTACATAAAACAGAGCCGTCGCCAAAATTAACTAGAGATGAAGTCTCAACAAAGATTATTATTAAGTAATAGTCAATTAATTAATATTATTAATAATTTCCAAAAAAACTTGCAGCTTTCGCATATGCATGTAACTATTTCAAAGCTTAAAGATTGGTATCTAATCATAAGTTTATTTGTTCTTCAAGTCTTGGTATGTTACTGTCAAATTGATATTGCATCTTCTGATAAGCATAACAAGCCTGTATGCACTGTTTTAGTTCTTTGAAGTCGTATGTCTACATTCAGCCCCCAAACCGATGGCAAAGATAGATTAATACGACCGCATTGTGTTAATATAAAAATTATAATATTAATATGTATTTGAATAGTGAATCCATACTCTCTCATCTCGCTTCAATGCTAGGCCAACATTTTTTAATGAACTAATTAGGTCTCATTTAATATTTATCAATAATTTATATTTTGTTACAGATTTAGCAGTCAAATGTATGGCGATAAAATAGCAGAAGTTTTAGACAAGAAGAAAGCGACCATTACTAACGAAGTTACCGATGATGACGGTTCGTCTTTACACTTATTAATTATACATATTTTTATTCGATACATTATATAGTACTACATTATATATGGTATATTATACCAAGCAAATCTGCACAGTATACCTTTTTGGATTTGGTTTTATTGTTTAGATGGGTGGACGAGCTCACAGCCCACCTGGTGTTAAGTGGTTACTGGAACCCATAGACATCTTCAACGTAAATGCGCCAGCCACCTTGAGTTATAAGTTCTAAGATCTCAGTATAGTTACAACGGCTGCCCCACTCTTCAAGCCAAAACGCATTACTGCTTCACGGCAGAAATAGGTGGGGTAGTGGTACCTACCCGTGCAGACTCATAAGAGGTCCTATCACCACCTGTTATTTGTTTTTACTCTCTCTAGAGATTACATAGTTTGGTGTTGGTTTTAGAGGAGGAGTCGGTAGAAGTGACGAGTGACATGCGTCTGAAGCTGGTGTCGGTGCTGGGAGGACGCGAGTCCCGCGCCCGCACCGCGCTGCCGAGCGGACTACACACTGAACATTCGCTCATCGAACTGCCTCCTGTGTACGACAATGAAGCCGCCGTCGAGGTGATCATTGTCGACCTTTAACACTTTTATAGTTAGATTAAACGCAACAGTCATCAACTTATTTATTAACCAAATTAAATCGATTTATTTACGGCTTCATCAAAGAAACCAGCGAAAAATGTAGTTCTTGCTAAAGAGACTCGTCCTTTTCTGAGGTTTGTTTGTGAGACAAAATAGGTAAAAAAATGTGTTCGTACTGTGTCTTACATGAGGCTATCTATTCGTTCAACTACTAAATCTAATTTAAATAGTTTGGACTGACCTTTAATCGAAAGTAGTTTGAAAACAAGAAAACAACACTTGTTCAATAACTATCATGATCAAGAATAATGCATAGTAAAAAAAAACCTGTTAAAAATTAGAATTTGCGTAATTACAGGTATAAAGCGTCTTGTAAGCCCGGACGGGTAGGTACTCCGTAACACCAATGCCACCACCAGGCCGTGGGTTCGTTCATCTATATATGCAATTAATATAATCGAACCCGTAGAATGTTATAAAATCTGAATTGTCAAGCTTGAATTTGGTTTTGGAATTTGGCTGATTTGGTTTTAGGTTGTCGCAGTGCTGGACCCAGCGTCGAGCGCGGCGCAACGCCTCGCGCCGCTGCTGCTCGTGCTGCGTCGAGTCGTCAATTGTAATATTAAATTGTTCCTCAACCCCCAAGACAAGAACTCTGATATGCCACTGAAAAGGTAAGCTTTTTTTAAATTCGCTTTTATTAGCTTCAGGCGTATGTATGTTAGTATGTAACGGAATCTTTGAACATGATTTTGGACCCCCTTCAAAATGTGGGATTAAACCGAAATTTGGTGGAAAAAAAAAAAAAAAAAATTTGAAGTAATTGAAATTCAACTAAAAAATAAAAATAAATCTTAATGAATTTGAATTAAAAATAGTCTAAGTAAAAATGATTTTATTGTTTTTTTACAATGTGGGGTGCATGGTATCAGTAGTTATAAATATTTTATGAACAGATATGAGTAGAAGGGTTATTTTGATAATATCCTGAAAAGCACTTTATTAGCAACAATTTATTAAAATTTATTTTCTATTTTTTTAGTTCGATTTCCTATAAAAGCATATTTTGTTAGTTTTTTAAACTATTATTTATTTTAATCTTAAACAATAATAAAAAATCATTTTTGAAATTGTTTTTAATTTGTTAATAAAATTAATGTAATATTTAATCTATTACAATATTATAATTTTTTGAAACTATTCTTCTTTTGCTATGTTGGCGAAAATAGATCATCATGTTGTATTTTTAGCGTGTGAACAATTTGAGTTGGTAAATAATTCAATTACGCTAACGAATGTAATATAGTTACCGATACAGGCTCCTTGATAACAATCAATTTTCAGGTACCACGGGTAGGTACCACCACCCTGCCTATTTCTGCCGGGAAGGATTAATGCATTTCGGTTTGAAGGGCGAGGCAGCCTTTGTAACTATACTGATACCTTAGAACTCATATCTCAAAGTAGGTGGCGGCATTTACATTATAGATGTGGCTGTGAGCTCAGCCACCCACCGAAGCATTAAATATATATATACAACATGTAACATATTTAACGCACACCCTCAAACACCCCAATTAGACTTTAATAGTATAAACGCTATGCATACACCAAATATTATTTATATGTGCGTTAACATTGATTATTTGTGAAATTAGTTATTCCCATTTCGTGGAAATAAAATGGTCACCGATTCACACTCAGCTGCGCACGCACACACAGACACATGTACACACTCGCCGCCGCGCCGCGCCCCTTGTTCAATGCACTTTAATGACCGTTTTCGTATTTGTTGTTTTATTTTAGATAATACTGCATGTCACTTTTCACTTTTTCAAAGGCGGTTATTATCTTATTCTTTAGTTCTTCGGCACTTATTGTCTGTGTGTTATAAACTAGCGATTTAATTCGCCCCCACAAAAAAAAGTCGAGAGGCGTCAAATCAGCTGATCTAGGAGGCCACTGATCGAAAAGACATAGCGAAATACGGGAGATATTTTATTTGCACTATCACTTGACCTCTTATCGATAAGGTGGACGCGGCGTGACTGACTTGTCAAAAATATTTTTTGACTTCGTTGTTTACATTTTTCTTTGATCACCGCCGACGCAACCGCGTCGCCGCGAACATCGGGATTAGCCTGCCGTCTATTGTAAGAATATTAAGCCGACGAAAGAAAGGGATAGTAATTATTTTTGTATTACGTGGCTTTCTTTTATGTATTGTAGTGTTGCTGTGTGCCGGCGGTCGCTGTTGGTATTGTGTGCGTAGGTATTTTATTTTGTAATAGTCTATTAGCCTTGAAATAAGTATCAGATTTCTTTAATTAAATAATTTTTTTTTTTTTACTAATTAGATATTTCATTTTTAAAAGTCTTAAAACCCCGACTTACGTTCCATTTTCGTTTCTATGAATTGTTTGGCTAGCTGTGTAGGGTGACTGTAATTTACTTAGTTTTAACAAAAATTTTGAAAAAAAATTTGGTACATAAAAAACAATCAAAATCGATCCAGATTCCGATTCTGAACAAATTACTTTCAGGGTGTGCGTTAATTATGTTACATGTTGTATAGACGCTTGAAAGGCAAACGTGATATACGATGCGCAAAAAAATTAAATTTCTAGGTATATTAAAATCATTTCAATACAACAGCTAGATTCGTTAAAATATAATTTTTTTCAGGTATTTCAACTTTAAAGTAGTCTACTGTAAAGTTCACGCATTGTCGCTTAGTCACGTTTGCCTTTCAAGCGTCGATATATTATAAATTTAATATAGCACTGATTCTTGTGATATGTGTTGCACAGCTTCTACCGGTACGTGTTAGAGCCGGAGCTGCAGTTCACGGCGGCGGGCGCGCTGTCGGGCGGCGCGCTGGCGCGGTTCTCGCGGCTGCCGCACGCGCCGCTGCTGTCGATGGAGCTGCGCACGCCGACCAACTGGCTCGTGGAGTGCGTCAAGTCCGTCTACGACCTCGACAATATCAGGCTCGCCGACGTCGAGACCGTCGTGCACAGGTCGGCTGCCGTCAAACATTCTTTTTTTTTTAAAGTAATTTTGTGAGCTGGTAACTAAGACTTTTAGGTCAAGTCTTATTTTAATTTATATTCTTATTTTTATGAAAAATGATAATATGGAGTGTAAATAAATGTATAGGATGAACTATAATTTCAGTAAAATGGTGGTCATTTACTGAGAGTTTTTCAGTGGACTTTTTGTAAAATCCCGAGAAGTTACGTATAGCGGCTTTGTTTAATTTTCCCACATTTCTCCACTTTCACAGATATGAAATAGTTAATAAACCACCGTTATTACTCATTTAAACCTGAAGAAACACTAAATAGACAATAAAACAAATCACACAACTCCGTTCTTCGCGTTCCCGCCAAAAAGTCCCCGTCATACATTCGATCTTACTTGATGGCGTACAATAGATAAACAAGTTCATAGTGAATATGATACGAACAAGGCCCATCGTTAACAGATCAGAAAGATCGTTTATGTCTATTACGATTTTATAGTAGGCGTAGGCGCATTACAATTTGCGTAATTACTGGTGGTAGGACCTCTTGTGAGTCCGCGCAGGTAGGTACCACCACCCTGCCTATTTCTGCCGTGAAGCAGTAATGCGTTTCGGTTTGAAGGGTGGGGCAGCCGTTGTAATTGTACTGAGACCTTAAAACTTATATCTCAAGGTGGGTGGGGCATTTACGTTGTTGATGTCTATGGGCTCCGGTAACCACTTAACATCAGGTGGGCTCTGAGCTCGTCCACCCATCTAAGCAATAAAAATAAAAAAAGGTAGATTATAGAGATATAAAATAAATACAAATAATTCTGACATTCATGTTAAGATTGAGGAAGTATATAGTGCTTTGTCAACAGCGAATTCGAACTAGAATACCTGCTGTTAGAAGGTCACGCTTGGGACACAACCCTCGGTACGCCACCTCGAGGTCTACAGCTGATACTTGGGACCAGGGAGAAACCCGAACTCATGGACACCATTGTGATGGCGAACCTGGGCTACTTCCAGCTGAAAGCCAACCCAGGGGCGTGGACGTTGCGCCTGCGACCCGGGCGCTCTGAAGAAATTTATGAGATTGTTGGGTAAGTTGTAATAGAAGATGAACATATGTCAAACAAATAGTTTAAATTCCAAAAAGTGTTTTGGAACCATACCAACATAGATACAATCTTTGTCTTGTTGCAATAATTATTAATGAAACAAAAGTAACTATTTACAGTCAAGTATTGCTGTGTCCTGACCTCTATTCAATATCCTTCACTCTTTATTTTATATTTTTTGCTTTAGAAGAATTAAAGTCCTAGATATGAAATAAGTACCTCAGTATTACTGTGGTAAAATTATTATAAATATCATGTCAAACTACACATACTCTTTTTTGGCTTAAAATTGATTAAAAATGTTCGCTATTACTATATCGGCATCATGTTCTTGTTTCTGCACAGGCACGAAAACACGGACACGCCGGCGGGCAGCCAAGACATACAGGTGCTGATGAGCTCGTTCCGCAGCCACGTCATCAAGTTGAGGGTGAGCAAGAAGCCAGACAAGCAACACCTTGATTTGCTCGTCGAAAATGACGACAAGAACTCAGGAGGACTCTGGAATTCCATTGCGAGGTAGGCCTTATTGTTACAGTAGGCGCGCGAGTTCATGTCCATCCCGGGGAATGCGGTGTAGTGCTGTGACCTAGTTAATTATGGTAATGTCGATAATAACTACAGATTTAGTCAACAGCCGTCAATTCGGCTTAATGTAACTTAAGGTAATTTTGCAATCGATGAAATAAAATAAATGTGATAAGTAATTACTTGTTTATTTCTGATAGAGAAACATATTTTTTAAATTCCAATTCAATCACTATCAAATGAAAAGACAACCGACAGATCAGAGTCGGAATCAGTAAGTATCTTTCTTCAGTAGGTTTTTTTCTACCTGAACTTGTTGGAAGCGGAGTAGTCATGGTTAATTAACACAATAGCGTTAGCGTAAATTTTCGATATCGATAAGCGCGAGTCACAACCGTCAAGGACAACACTCGACGTCAGACAAATGCGGGGAGGCGGGCGAAAGTGGGGCGAGCTGTCCCCGCGCGTCGCCTCTGGCCCCGACGGACATGAACTCGCGCGCATACAGTAGATCAAAGAGCATAAGAGTGCATCATCATTTTAATTGAAACGTGTAATAAGTACAAAAATCTTATATTAAAATGATAAACAGAGAACCATTATCATACTGAAATTTACAATGACAAATTGGATAAATTAAGAATGATTTCTTTAATGTTTATTGTTTCGTTCTAAAACATGAATATTTGAATATAGCTCGTTCGGTGGTGGAGACGAATCTGAAGCTCAAGACGACACGATCAACGTGTTCTCAGTGGCTTCAGGACATTTGTATGAAAGATTCCTTCGGATTATGATGTTGTCTGTTCTTAAAAACACAAAATCACCCGTCAAGTTCTGGTTTCTCAAGAATTACCTTAGTCCTTCGCTTAAGGTAAGATTTATGTATATGAGAGATATCCTCTAAGTTTTTAAAAAGTACATTTTGAGTCTCATTCGAGTATCTCTTTTACCATATGAACTCACTAAACATGTCTAGCTAGGCAGTTTGACTTATATGAACTCATTCTAAATATAAATGTATGTTTTATATTTTCTATTGCAATTGTTGAATTAGTAATGAAGTAATAATGTAAAAATTAATATAAAATAGATACAGTCAGGTGTAAGAGGTAATTTATTACACTACAAAATAATTGAATTTTTTTTTATTCCTTAGATTGGTAGACGAGCTCACAGCCAACCTTGTGTTAAATTGTTGCTGCAGCCCATAGATATCTACAACGTAAATGCGCCACTCACCTTGAGATATCAGTTCTAAGGTCTCAGTATAGTTACAACGGCTGCCCCACCCTTCAAACCGAAACGCATTACTGCTTCACGGCAGAAATAGGCGAGGCGGTGGTACCTACTCGCGCGGACTCACAAGAGGTCCTATCACCAGTAAAAATTGTAATGTGTGATCAGGATATTCTACCATACATGGCCCAAGAGTATGGGTTCGAGTACGAGCTGGTCCAGTACCAGTGGCCGCGCTGGCTGCAGCGACAACGCGACCGGCAACGCACCATCTGGGGATACAAGATCCTGTTCCTGGACGTGTTGTTCCCGCTGCACGTCAAGAAGATTATCTTCGTCGATGCCGACCAGGTAGGACTTTGCAGTATCATTTTTTGTTTAATATTATATATTACTGGATTATTGAATACCCCACTAATCTATACTTCTCTACTAATATTATAAAGAGGAAAGATTTGTTTGTTTGTATTGAATAGGTTCCGAAACTTCCAATCCGATTTGAAAAATTCTTTCACTGTTTGGAAGCTACACTATTCTCAAGTGACATAGGCTGCAATCTTTTTTGAAATAATTAGGGATCCTTTCTAAAACTCCAATAATGTAACCCAAGGTGTAAAAAAATTACCTAAAATATTCTTTACATTGCGTGCCCTGCGAAAACTATTGATGATAGAATAAAGTAATGTACTACGACTTTGTAGAACACATTATTAGTTATAAAAAGTGTCGCGACAGCATATGACTAACTATTATAGTTATGCTGCAATAAGTGTTCTTTTATTTACAAAAATGAAACAACGTCAAATATGTATCGTTGAAATTTTTGTTATAGACCCGAGCGGAGCCGGAGCGGGCCGCTAGTTAATAATACATAGCGAAATAATAAATTTGACGATAAAATTTTAACGAATGCTGGCACGTCTGTAGTATTTTAAAATTTTATATTTGTTCAATTCTAATGTTTTGGTGGAGTGTTTGAAGATTGACCAATATCAAGAATCAGGTGGCAGACGTAAACGGTTTTTCTGACCAGTGTGCTTAGTGCGAGTTTTTTAACGTTCTCGATAGCGTAAAAGTTTGCTCATATTTGTATAGAATGGAATCGTTTGCGTACGTTTGCCGCTAGGGGCGCTGTTCCAGCCCGTAGCAAATTATTTCAAAGAGCCCTTGATCTACTATGGGTTCTTAAGTATAAAGTGGTAAAAAAACAAATCAATAGTCTATACGTTTATTTGCCATCTATAGGTTACAATTTTGTGGGTATTTAGTAAATTACTATAGGCGCTGTTAGGCTCTGACAAGTACAAAAATCCAGAGATGAGATTTTCTGGCTATATAGAATAATTTTGATAAGAAACTAACAATTGAAAACTGATGATACTACACAAATTATTTTTTTCAATACATATTTCAAAGTTGATATTTAATGCAAAGTATATTTTTTTTTTAGGAATAGCTAATGTTATATTTTATCAATGGTGTACTTTAAATAATGTTTGTAGAGCTGATTATCAGGCTGATTGAAATTCTACACGTTTATACAAATAACTTTTTCTTAATAAGTCACTCAAAAAATTAAGCTCGGGCAGAGATGAGCGGGTTTAAATATGCGGGGCCCCCGTTCGCGCGGGGCCCGTAGCAATTGCTACTCTTGCTACATGGTTAATCCGGCACTGTATAGTTTAGAATCGAATCAATAATACAGCCAAAGGAATATTCATTTTTTCAAAATTTCGCTAGATTTATTGTTAACTATATAGGTTATTTCTTTTCTATTGTTTGCAGATTGTTCGTGCTGATCTCAAAGAATTGGTGGAATTAGATTTAGGAGGCGCACCATACGGTTATACACCGTTCTGTGATAGTAGGACAGAAATGGACGGTTTCAGGTTCGTTTTAATTTATATTTATCAAAGCGTTGTTTAAATCTTATTGGTTAATTTATTATACTAGAGGTCCCGCAGTAGTCGAAATTCGACTATAAGTAATTGGAATTGTAAGTTTGTACACTATTATGATTGTATTTTATACTTCTATAATCACAAATTTCGCCAAGACTACACTATATAAAATATTAACAAAGACAAACAATATTTAATCTATTCTCAATTTGACAACAGACGTCAATAACAAAAGTTTGACAATAAATATTAAGCATGCATGTGTGCGTCAAATAAAAGGTATGTAGTGTGTTTAATGTTTTCTTTATTGATTTAATGTATCTTTTATGTATTATTTAAAAAAAATATCAACATTCTGCACTTCTTCTCTATATTCTCTATAAGTGTGGAAAAATTTCATACTCCTCCGTCCGCACAATTTTCGTAGTATGGGATACAAAGTTTTTGCTTCACGTATTAATATAATTTATTATATGAGTTGGCTGCAGGCGGGAATGCCACCATCTTGCTTAGCATCAAACCCGCAATTTATAATTTGCGTAATTCCTGGTGGTAGGACCTCTTGTGAGTCCACAAGGGTAGGTACCACCGCCCTGCCTATTTCTGCCGTGAAGCAGTAATGCGTTTCGGTTTGAAGGGTGGCGCAGCCGTTGTAATTATACTGAGACCTTAGAACTTATATCTCAAAGCTAAGTGGCGGCATTTACGTTGTAGATGTCCATGGGCTCCGGTAACTGCTTAACGCCAGGTGGGCCGTGAGCTCGTCCCGCCACCTAAGCAATAAAAAATAGACTCACCCCAAGCCGCACAGTGGGATACTATGTAGGTACTAACTTGCCTATATCTGTCGCAAAGCACGAATTGTTATAGCTTATTTGCTAATTCAGAGCAGTCATTTACAACTGGTAATGATTTAGGTTCTGGAAGCAAGGCTACTGGCGCAATCACCTTCAAGGTCGTAGTTACCACATCAGCGCGCTGTACGTCGTGGACTTGAAACGGTTCCGTCGTATCGCCGCCGGGGACCGCCTCCGAGGACAGTACCAGGCGCTCAGCCAGGACCCTAACAGCTTGTCTAATTTAGGTTAGTACTGATAAATTTTGTATCTTTAAAAAATTAAGTCTCGTTAAGTTCTGTTTTTAGGGGAACCGACAAAAGGAAGATCTTTAACCCAACCAGTAAAACTGTTCGGTCCGAATATTATTGTTCGAAATTATATATCGTCGCTGTCAAACCAAAATCTCCTATGTGCAAAAACCGTATTTTGAATTAACGAGTAAAAATATTTTCGTACAAAATTTTATATGAAAGTGAACTTTTAAGAACTATATCGAATGAAAGCTATAGATAAATATTAAAGCTATAGACACATAACAGTTTTTTTTAACAGAAAAGGTCAAAAGTTGTGTGTCAAAAAGTGCACATAGCAGATTTTGGTTTGACAACAACGATATTCAAAGCTTATTTGGAAAAAGTCTTTTGTTCTGGATATAAATTCAAATTTACTTGCATAAACTGATGATTGTTAGAGGGGTTTGTGAAAGCGCGTGCGGCTAGGACCCAGCAAACTATCTAGTTTTTACGCAAAACAAACAACCACGTTTTTTTTTCTATTGCTTAGATGAGTGGACGAGCTCACAGCCCACCTGGTGCCAAGTGGCTACTGGAGCCCACAGACATCCACAACGCAAATGCGCCACCCACCCCGAGACATAAGTTCTAAGGTCTCAAGTATAGCCACAACGGCCGCCCTACCCATCAAACCGAAACACATCACTGCTTCACGGCAGAAATAGGCAGGGCGGTGGTACCCACTCGCCCTGACTCTCAAGAGGTCCTACCACCAGTAATTACGCAAATTATAATTTTGCGGGTTTCATTTTTATTACACGATGTTATTCCTTCACCGTGGGAATTAATCGTGAACATTTGTTCAGTACGTATTTCATTAGTTCTCAGCCACTGTTCCTCGGCACTTTTGTGTGCCGCCTAATTTCAAAAGTGTGCCGCCAAATTTTGCGAATATATAATAATGTTAATATTATTAAATTATATCATTTTAAAAGAAAAATATTTTAAACATGAATATATATTTTGATCCACAAAAAAAAAATTATAGTATATTTTAGTTTATTTCGTAAATTAAAATTTTTTGATAAACTATTTATGCAGTGTGTTGTAGTAAGTAAATAATATTTTTTTTTTTTTGTGTGCCGCCAAATCTTGAAATCTTTAAATATGTGCCGCAACAAAAAAAAGGTTGAGAACCACTGCATTAGAAAAATTGGTACCCGCCTGAGATCCGAACACCGGTGCATCGCTCAACACGAATGCACTGGACGTCTTATCCGTTAGGCCACGACGACTTCACCACGTCTTCCATTTGAAAGGGCAGGATAATATCTGTTCTTTGGATTCGTTTTGTGGATCGAACATCTTGTGCCACATGTCCTTACTAGGCGCCAGAACCCCGCAAAGAGTTTAACATCAAACACAAAAAAAAAAAAGACGATCGGATAGTTGTGATGCCATAGCGACTGTTAGTACTGACCGATAGGGGAACCGTGAGCTCATTGTAAATCTAAAAACACTTTTCAGTCCAAATGCAAATATGCCGTTGTAACTATACTTGAGACCTTAGAACTTATATTTCAAGGTGGGTGGCGCATTTACGTCGTAGATGTCTATGGGCTCCAGTAACCACTTAACACCAGGTGGGCTGTGAGCTCGTCCACCCATCTAAGCAATTAAAAAAAAGGGTTCGTTCAATAAATTCGAAAATATTTTTTTTAGATCAAGATTTACCGAACAACATGATCCATCAAGTGGCCATCAAATCGTTACCGCAAGAGTGGCTGTGGTGTGAGACCTGGTGTGACGACGACTCGAAGAAATACGCCAAAACAATCGACTTGGTACGTTACAACCAAGTTCATTGTATCAACTCAATAACTTTACGATAGTTTTGAAAGTGCATTTTCTTATAATATTTCTTGAAGTTCTGAAGTACTATCCGGCCTTTATTTGTCATCGTTTCATTATCTTCATTCTTGGAACGTGCTTGTTGGTCAGTATTCGTGTCATTACTTAGTGCGGATCACGACATCAACACTGACATCCACATTGAGGCATACATAAATATAAGTTTTGTTTTGAAATAACAGCTAACCTTTAAACTGAAACACGGTATTGCTCCGCGAAAGAATGGAATGATGGTCTTAGCCCATATATATCGCACACGCCTATCTCTTGTACTCTAGACAAGAATAAGAATGGGAAGTAGGGCACGATGAAGATATTTTTGTGTCCGAGGTTGTATACGCATCCGTATCATTTTATTTATTTTTTATTGTCCTTGCGAGCATACGGCTCATCTGATGGTTACCGTCGCCCATGGACTTCAGCAATGCCAGGGGCAGAGCCAAGCCGCTGCCTACCGTTAATCTAGTTTACAAACAAGCACATTGATATGTATTATCATCTGGCCTAGAAGAGAAGATAAAGAAACCGTTCCATAAGAGTTGTAAATGCGTAATAATGATAATATTTTGCGTTGGTCTACAATTTTTGAGTTGATTTATTTGATTTTAGTGCAACAACCCTATGACTAAAGAAGCCAAGCTCTCCGCTGCGATGCGCATAGTACCCGAATGGAAGGAATACGACGGTGAAGTGAAGGCTTTACAGGCGCGTGTTAGACGAGGTCTCTACCAATCTTCGGACCATGAACAGGTATAAATATTTAATCATTTTATTGTTGCGTAGACGATGAACAACCGCCCATCTGGTGTTAAGCGGTTAACGGAACCCATAGATATGACGAGATCAACGTGAGATTCATGCGGCAATTGTTTTGTATAGTAGTTGTCCCATAGAGAGAGAGAGAGACAAAGAGAGAGAGTATTCTTTATTGTCCATCAAAAAACAAATGACAGTGCGATACATTAAATACAAAAAAAGTACAAATGGCAGTCTTATCGCTAAGAGCGATCTCTTTCAGACAACCATCAGGTGGACAAGAATCATTTAGAAACGAATTTAGTAGCTGTCCCATACTTCAAACCGTGGCCCAGATAGCTTCTCAGTAGAAATTACCAGAGCGGTACCACATTGTATGGGGTCACAAGACATCCTGCCACCAGTTTTGTTATTTGAGTGTTTTATATTATAGAACATTGAAATATGCATTTTTTTGTGCTTGTTTTAGGAGGTTGAAGTAAATATCGATGTTACGACGTCTAGTCAGTCTACAAGTAAGTACAACTTAATAAAATATAATATAATCACGGACAAATGGTCATTTAGCCACAATCTAGGATTCCATGTGTTGTGGGAATCAGAGTAATATACCTAGATTTAGATTTTAGATTTAGAGTATTAGATACCTATATTTTTTCCTTTAAATTTTAAACCTAATACGGCTATTAATGCTTCTTGGATAAATTATATTTGTTATTAGTTCCATTTAGATAGAGAAAAAAACCTATTTGATACGCAAATATTTTCCCGATGAGAGAATTGAATCGAGGTCCTTAACCCAACTGTAACTACTACGCCAGTGAGGCACACTTTGTTGTTATTGTTACATTTTAACGGTAATAATGATGGTTTATGCAATGATTTATGCAGAGTATAACCCGTTTAAAATCATCATTATCTTAGGGTGGGCCTTGGCCTGGTCCAGTGTGTCTCCACAGACTCCTCTATTAGTGGCTTTCTCCTTCTAGTTTTATTAGTTTTTACCAGTTTATGTTGGCCAATATTCTCGATTTTAATTTAAAATTTTGTTTGTTTATTATTATTATTTTTATTGCTTAGGTGGGTGGACGTGCTCACAGCCCACCTGGTGTTAAGTGGTTACTGGAGCCTATAGACATCTACAATGTAAATGCGCCACCCACCTTGAGATATAAGTTCTAAGGTCTCAGTATAGTTACAACGGCTACCCCACCCTTCAAATCGAAACGCATTACTGCTTCACGGCAGAAATAGGTGGGGTGGTGGTACCTACCCGTGCGGACTCACAAGAGGTCTTACCACCAGTGATTACGCAAATTATAAATTTACGAGTTTGATTTTTATTACACGATGTTATTCCTTCACCGTGGAAGTCAATCGTGAACATTTGCTAAGTACGTATTTCATTAGAAAAATTGGTACCCGCCTGCGGGATTCGAACACCGGTACATGTGTAATTCAAGACTGTTGATCGTCATCAATTATAAATTATTTATAGAATATTTTGAGGATATAAAACATTATGATTTTTTTTGTATATGAATTGTTTCAGATACTGAGCACGATGCACACACGGAGTTATGATGAACTAAAGCAGTGATATTACAATAAGTAGCACGAATATTCCATTTTCCCATATGTTTGTGTGTTGGTTGTGGTAGACACGTGACGTCAGTAGATGTGTATGTGTGCAATTACATTTTGTTACATAATGTTTGTATAAGTTGTAAATCTTTAAAAATAATTGTATGATTTATACATACATAATGTTGTTCAATCGGTACTTATGGTAACTAAAATTTTAATTCGGTGCCATGTTCTGTCTTTCAAAGGCTATGTTTAATGCATTACCAAACTGTATAGGGTAAAACAAACTGTTATTGGCATGAAACTAGCTGAGTAATTTGCTCTCTGCCATTTGTAATTCAGAAAATAAGATTTTTTTCCATTTAATTATAAATATGTTTGGAACGAAGAAAAGTGATGGCGTTAAGTTTTGTATAATATCTGAACGTCTATTATTTTACATCAATTATAAATTTGGCATGAACAAGATGATATACTATTTAAGGCAAATAAAATAGCATAAAAATTTTAAGTGATTTTTTGATCCAATTGTCACTTATATAATGTCAATATTTGTGACAGAATGTTCGATTGACAAACTACATACAGGTAAATTGATTCGTCATAATAAAAATCTTGCTTTCTTCTTTTGTTAGATAATATTCGGATAAGAAAAAGTGATGATGTTCTAGTTTTAAGTATTCGAATTATACAATTTGTAGATGGGTCAAAAGCCTTTGGCTGTTACATTGTTTGTTATTAAAATCATTCTCAGTAATGGTACATATGTTCCTCCACGCGGTTTGTGAAACATCTTCTACAAAAAACAACAGTTTGTTAATGTACACTTTTTCTATTTCCTTAGAAACATTGTTTTATATGATAATTCTTTGACGTCGCTTGTAAATGAAGCCAATGACTCGTAAAACCGAAATCACAACTCGATACCCGAATTTCTAACAATTTCAACTCGAAACTAGATATTAAATTAAAACAAAATATTAGTTTAAGATATTATAAGCTACGTAGCTTGAAATGTTCATTGGTGTTCCCATGGTGTTCCTGATACTTTTGTTCTCTTGTCAAGGAAAATATGTACTTTATTTACCAGTGTGTAAGATTTTATTATTTTGTAGTTCATGTAATTTCGTAATGAACTTGGTAAACAAATGCAGCATTCAAAACAAAAACAAAACATTCATTATATAAGACGCAAACTAATTTTATCTTGATCAGTTTAAATGTTTTGATAAATTTGAGTTTTGTAACTAGTGTAAGGCTATGACGTCGACGACTAATGGATGCACCCAAAGTAATGATTACACGGTGGGTGCGTGGCTATTTACGTGTTGTAAGTAAAAGTTGATAATATTAAATAAGGAAATTTAATGCATTTTATAAACTTATCGCTTAACTCAGACGGTATCGGACGACAAACAAAGAATCGAGTACTAAATTGCTTTGCTTGAATGACTTGTATGTCTATTCGATTTCACTTCTCTCATATTTTTGTCTATATTAATGTCTCCTATAAATGATTAGGGGCAGATTTTCGATCTTTACCACCTGATCATTTTTAGTACTGTAGCCGATTTTGTATTTAATAATCGGATAAAAGTATTAACATTACACAGGCCAACAACACTATGACCCTATTCTTTTATGATTATTCAATATTTGGTTTCGACAACTATTTATCGTCAGAATGAGATCTTGTGTTATTGATGTCATGTGAGTCGTCCTCTCTCCTTTATAAATCTCGGAAACCGTCTCGGCCAAGTGATTGGCCTACACAATAGTCGTAGCCGCTAGTTTCCTCTTTAAAAGATAATAGCAATCAAACATTAGATTAAGATTATAACATGTTCACTTTTTTATGATAATTTTACATGAAAGCATTCACAGCTCAATATTTTTAAGATTTTCTTATATGTTTGGAGCAGAATTTATGTTTCGAAACAACACATAAATATGATTTGTTTTTCAATTTTGTAATTACTCCGATCAATAAACTATAGTAAATTTAAAGCAGATTTTTTATTGAACTAAAACACGTTTCCAATTAAGAATTTATTTACAGTACATATAGTCTATAAACTACTTTAGATGAACACCTAATCGCTACATAAAAGAAAGAACTACACGTGTTATCACGACAAAGTTATTTTTAACAAACAGACTTATTTGATTTAAAACACTTTCACTCGCTATTACATATTATTTTCATAAAATACTACACATTCAAAAATATGTACACGGTAAATTAAGGTACTTGATTGGATCCAAGTTTTATCTTTAATCTCGTACCGATCACGATCGTATAATTAAAATATTATTTCTTTGAGTAAACCAATTTCAGGTGGTTTGTTCGATATCAGTGGTAACAGTAGTTAATCAGAATACAGTAGATTGGGGGGAATAGAGACTAAAGTTAGAATAGGGACAAATCTGGGAGGTCACAATGCTTTTGTTGAGTTGTTAGATTTAACTTTGATGAACTGAAAATGACTTTTATTTAATGTTTAAGAATATTAAATAATTTAATTTAGTCATCAAAGTTTTGTAACTCACTAAGGATATTAAAAAGTTAATTACCTAAGTTAGATAGATACCTACATAACAACTAAATAGTGCCAGCCCTATCGAAAAACTTGTCCCCATACGTAACCTGATTCACCCCAAAGCCAAGGTGAATCGGGTCAAGCTACCTTTTTTCAGTTTTTGTGTATATTTTGTAATGAACTATGTATAATAAACGCATCGTATAGAAAAATTTAAGCCTCCGGAACCTTATAAATCTGAATTTTATTGGTATTTCTCTAAGAAAAACTATTGAACATTTGTGTTGGATTTGGAAAGAGTCCCAGTTCCCCCCAATCTACGGTACGATAATATGGATTCCTTAAACATAAAGTCAATATAAATTAGGTTATAGGGTAGGGTTGTAGAATTTAGGTCTCCAACAAATTTGGTATAATCTTACATTTAAAGGACATGACAAATCGGTGTTTCTACGGGGCGATAAAAAGACTACTATCACTTTCTGAGAATTTAGTTAAATTATGCTATTTCATATAAGTAATTATTTATAGAGATAAGTCTGTGTACATTCGTCCACGTTCTAAGAGATTAAGATGTTTTTTCATATTAATTAATAGTGTAATCTCGTTACAGGAATTCTACGAAAAGCTTGTTCACATTATAGCTATAAATCTTTATATACTATTTTTTCAGTATTTGTAACATATTTTGTGTTGCCTAGCCTTGGGTTGCTTTACATACATTTTAAGCATTATCTTATTGTCAAGATTTAAGAAAAAGGTAGGTAAGCTTGAACCCAGTTGATCAAACGTCTAATTTCCCTTTGTGATTTTTTAATTTTTTATAATTTATTTATGCCCAACAGCTACAAGACCTTATAGCCTAGCTTAAATATAATTTCTACGTAAAAACTACGTAAAAAATAACAATATTCAATTACATAAAAAATTTACGAAGCGAAACGACCTGAAGATTATTAATTTAAGTTTTTGAATAATTGAGATGAAATTAAATGAAACCGGATAAGATAGAATGAATTTATTTTATTTTATTTTTATTGCTTAGATGGGTGAACGAGCTCACAGCCCACCTGGTGTTAAGTGGTTACTGGAGCCCATAGACATCTACAACGTAAATGCGCCACCCACCTTGAGATATAAGTTCTAAGGTCTCAGTATAGTTACAACGGCTACCCCCCCTTCGGACCGAAACACATTACTGCTTCACCGCGGAAATAGGCGGGGTGGTGGTACCTACCCGTGCGGACTCTTCAAGAGGTCCTACCACCAGTGAATGAAATAAAGACTGTAAATGATTCATATTTACTACGACTTTTTCAGTGGACTTTTTGGAAGAACCCGAGAAGCCACGCCCAGCGGCGTTGTTATATTCTCTCACATTTGTGCATTTTGCACAATGCAAACCATTGAATTACACATTTAAAACTGGAGAACTAAGTTAACAAAATAATACAATTCACACAACTTCGCTCCTCGCGTTCCCGCCAAAAAATATAATACCTGTAATTATACCTAGTCAGGTCATAAGTATTGTCACACAGTAAAAACTTTTCTTTTAGAATGCTGGCCACAAAATTTTTTATTGAATTCGAATTTCGAATTGTTCTTGAAAATAAAAAATTTATACTTTTAGAATTTTACTCATTTTTAAATATGGATTGGACGCTTAAAGAAGACCGTGTTGCAGTTATTGCGTTGCATCGTTGCGGTTACGCGCCAATTCAAATTTTTAACATACTGAAAAATTTTAATATAACCAAAAGATTCGTTTATCGTACCATCAAACGATACAATGAAGACTCTAGTGTAGATGACAGGTCGAGAAGTGGTCGCCCTCGGTCTGTTAGGACTCCAGCAGTGATAAAAGCTGTGAAGGCGCGAATTCAAAGAAATCCCAAACGTAAGCAGAAACTGTTGACCCTTCAGATGGGGTTAAGCAGAACCACGGTGAAAAGGGTGTTAAATGAAGACTTAGGGCTTCGGGCATATCGAAGAAAAACAGGACATCGTTTGAATGCTCGTCTAATGGACCTGAGACTGAAGAGATGCCGCGCTTTGTTGAAGCGGTACGCGGGAAAAAAATATCGGGAAATTCTTTTTTCGGATGAAAAAATTTTTACCGTAGAAGAGAGCTACAACAAACAAAATGATAAGGTGTACGCACACAGTAGTGAAGAAGCGAGCAACCGTATTCCGCGTGTCCAACGAGGTCATTTTCCATCCTCGCTCATGGTATGGTTGGGAGTTTCTTATTGGGGCTTAACAGAGGTACATTTTTGTGAGAAAGGTGTAAAAACGAATGCAGTTGTGTATCAAAATACAGTCCTGACGAACCTTGTGGAACCTGTTTCTCATACCATGTTCAATAACAGGCACTGGGTATTCCAACAAGATTCGGCGCCAGCTCATAGAGCGAAGAGCACACAAGACTGGCTGGCGGCGCGTGAAATCGACTTCATCCGGCACGAAGACTGGCCCTCCTCCAGTCCAGATTTGAATCCGTTAGATTACAAGATATGGCAACACTTGGAGGAAAAGGCGTGCTCAAAGCCTCATCCCAATTTGGAGTCACTCAAGACATCCTTGATTAAGGCAGCCGCCGATATTGACATGGACCTCGTTCGTGCTGCGATAGACGACTGGCCGCGCAGATTGAAGGCCTGTATTCAAAATCACGGAGGTCATTTTGAATAAACTTTAGTGTCATAAGAATCTATGTTTTGTTAAGTTCATTTTGGTGTATGAATGGTTACATAATGAATAAACTTGTTTCAATTATTTTACATTAAACATGTGACAGAATTTATGACCTGACTAGGTATATATTTTTTAGAATTGCAAAACCCAATAAAAGTAAGTTTACGAGTATTCTTCGTTATTTATCCAAGAAGCAGATCATCAGATCTCCAGCCCGTGCCACTCCGTCGCCGCGTCCGGTGGCACAAAATAAAGCCCAGACCCCTCCCCCGGTAATCCTTCAAGAGAAGGCAGCTTGGGAACGAGTTTCCCTGGCCCTTAAGGCCAAAAATATCAATTTTACGAATGCCCGTAACCTCGCGAACGGCATTCAAATTAAGGTTCGAACATCCGACGACCATAGGGCCCNGTCGCGATTCCGATCCGGTAGTAGATTCATTCGCGAAACAGCTGCTCTTGAGCTGTTAGGTCTCCTTCGGAGGCGCTCGGGTAGCTGTTAGCAAATCCCACCCCTCCTGGCTGAGCCTTTGCTCGCCCACCTGTCCTGGTGAAACTGGAAAGGCCTCCGGGCCACCAGTAATCCTTCAATCATAAAAAAAAAAAAAAAAAAAAAAATCATCAGATGAATCCTAGAATATTAATTCGACGATTCATAACTGAATTTATAGATGTTCTACTAACCTTTTCTACAAGCAGGCAAGTAACTACTCCCTCGTAGGGAATTTTTTAAATTTATGTTTATTTTTAAGAAAATTATATCGATATGTAGAAAGATCTAGATTTAATTTAAATAACTAATTAAAATTAATTTCTAGACTTACTAAGAATGGCAAATTATGAGGTAGATATAAATCAAGTTTTTTATTTTAATGAAACCTAAATTCCTTTACAAATATAAGTAAATATTTACATCTGTGCGCATGTTGACTAGTAACGTACTTTATGGAACGAGATACCGTCAGCTCGTAGTGGTATCTAAATGTCGATTGCCACGTAGGTCACCCGTGCCCTATGTGACGCACTGTAGTAACTATATCGTATTTTTAAATAATCTTTGGCAATTAAGTTTTTGTGAAATCAATTACACAACAATTAAATATTTAACAAATTTAGATGATAGCTGTTAAGAAAGGACGCAAACCTTAAGTGCCGGTTCGGTATGTTTCCGGCGCGCTTTAAGTTGGCACTGTCCACATCAATGTTCTAAAGAACAAAATGAAGTCATTCAAATTGATGTAACATCTCTTTCTCACTCTTTCTAACGTTTGCTTTAAAATAACTCTTTCTTCAGAGTTCAAGAAACTTATCGAACAGGCGCTGAGCTAAATGAGAATTCCTAGGTGCGTAGTTGCGACAACAGTTCAGTTGCAATAGTGTTCTTCGTTAGTGATGCGACATAGCTGACAATCGACTCGGCAACACCAGTGGTACCGACAGTGGCAGCGCTCCAGGCGCGTCCCCCGCACCGCCCGCCTCCCCCGCCCGCAACACAGACGCCCGCACCCCCCCGCTGCACTGCCCAGCGAAGCGTTACAAGACCTGCATGAACGGATTTTTAAGATAAGTTTGCTTACATACAACACTAACATTTAAACCGTCGGCTTATCCAGCAATTTCGTCCGCTCGGTGGAAGATTTTTTTTTGTCGTTACTCCCATAGCTTTATATATCTTCGGTGGATTCACATTTCCCTATACCCTCATTGTTAGTTAAACATGTACCCTGTTAATTCATTAAATCTATTGATGTTATTTTAAATGCTAAAATGCATATATTAGTGTGTTCTTCTGTCACATAACCAAACCGACATTATTATTTGCATAAAGAGAAAATTTATCTGACATCAGTAACATTTCATACAGAAAAAACGCCATTGACTAGTGATTTGGAAACTTTTTTTTATTGCCCTTGTAGGTAAACGAGCACACGGCCCACCTGATGGTGAGTGGTTACCGTCGCCCATGGACTGCAGTAATGCCAGGGGCAGAGCCAAACCGCTGCCTACCGCTTAATACTCTCCACAAGCCTCGTTTGAAGAAGGAAACTTATCTCAAACTTAACACGAATTAGTACATAGTTAGATGACACACCTGCCATGCGTGCCCAACGAGCCAGCGGCTGAGTCGGGCTCGCAGTAGTCGGGGCTGGGCGTGACGTAGCGCAGGCGCGGCTTGGCGTGACGCGCGGCGTGACGGCGCGGGCGCAGAGGGCCGGCACGTGCCGCTTCGCCCGCCAGCGCGGCCGCCACACGCGACAGCGGTGGCAGGGCGCGCCAGCACGTGCGTACCGAACACGACCCCGACACGCCGTGACATGTACACTTGGTACGCATGCCGCTAGATACGGCCTGTCGAATATGACACGGATTCTCTTAAGTACCCGTATAAAACAGTAAGCATTGTTGAGATATACTCGTATTGTATCTACCTCTTTAATAAATTTCATTAAAAAAATACTAAAAAATATTTAATACGCTTAACCTGTTTATATAAGGTTATGGAATATCATTTAGTATTTTTTTCAAAAGACCAAAGGAACCTTAATTTTACATATACCATACAATTATATTTTCGATTGTATTTCTTTTAACATCTTTTGCACTAGCAAATTTACCAATGACAATTTGATATGAGTTGCGTATATCGTTAAATCAAATGCCGAGAATATAATATCTAATGTAATAAACAGAATTATTTAGTACAAGTAGACTCAAGACAAATATTCTCGTTGTCACGTATAAATACGAGGTTAGTAATGTACTTACTTTCCTTCCGAATCTTCCATTTATCAAATTCGCTGCGGCGATTAGGGGACGTAGCCTTTCAAGTCGAGTCCTTAAATCTACTTGCGGGTCAAAGCGGGGGTCGTCAGCTGCCATCCGATATTCGATGTTTCGATATCTAGAACCTCTGTCTTCAAATTCGTATCTGTCATAGAAATTTTATTAAATCACGTTGATAAATACTTAAACATCAAAACTAATATTTTTCTTATTTTTTATTGCTTAGATGGATGGACGAACTCATAGCCCACCTGGTGTTAAGTGATTACTGAAGCCCATAGACATCTACAATGTAAATGCGCCACCCACCTTGAGATATAAGTTCTAAGATCTCAGTATAGTTACAACGGCTGCCCTACCCTTCAGACCCAAATGCAATACTGCTTCACGGCAGAAATGGGCAGAGTGGTGGTACCTACCCGCGCGGACTCACAAGGTCCTACCTTCTTCTTCTCAGTCGTTCACTCCTGGCGGAGTGGTCGTGGTTACATAAGTCTTAATATTTGGTTGCGGCTTTTGAGAGACTTCTCCATCTTTCTCTATTTGTGGCGATACGTGTACACTCAGTAAGGGAACACTTCGTAGAAAACTTAACCAAGTCTGTCCACCTTGTGGGTGATCGGCCGCGAGAGCGTTGACCGTCTACTCTTCCTTGAACCACTAAACGTTCCAATGACCTTTCATTACGAATGATATGTCCAAACATATTAAGGATTCGCAATTGCACAATCGACGAAAGCCTTTGTTTGATTTGGAGCTCNAACTTAACCAAGTCTGTCCACCTTGTGGGTGATCGGCCGCGAGAGCGTTGACCGTCTACTCTTCCTTGAACCACTAAACGTTCCAATGACCTTTCATTACGAATGATATGTCCAAACATATTAAGGATTCGCAATTGCACAATCGACGAAAGCCTTTGTTTGATTTGGAGCTCTTTGAGGATGGATACATTAGTGCGGTAAGCAGTCCATTTTACCCTCAGCAAGCGTCTCCAGCACCACATCTCAAGGGCGTCAATCTTTTTACGACATTTTTGATGGATCGTCCATGTTTCTGCTCCATATAGGAAAATAGGAAATATTAAGCACCTCATTTAAGAACTTTGGTGTTTTTAGTTATACGGCGATCTTTCCATATTTTTGTGAGCTTTTCCACGGCTGACGTGTCACGGGTCAGGTCCTACCACCAGTAGAAATAATAACTGAAGCGATATACATTCATTAGCCATAAACTGAGAATAACGTCAAAATTCGTTTATTAATAATTTGCGGTCCGTCGATACCACAGTGATGTCGTATACAATGAATCGGCCAACAGCCAATCACACCACAGTAGTGTCGTAAGCACATCTTCGAAATTTCATGAAATTAGGGGAATAGGACTGAGAACTTACGAGACCTAACGATGAGATTAGTAAAACTCAACAATTTCCCGATAATGTCAAGAAAGGCCGGCAAAAAGTCAAGTAATCCGAATTAGCGTTGCCGACGTCAAGCGAATAAATTTTTACGAGATGTGCGGGCGGCAAAGTATTAAGATTACGATTAAGATTAGAACTACCAGAATTCATAGATATTACGACGTGAAAGCCGCCGTCCACCTTGAGACATGTTGGTAGAGACCCCAATTGTATTGTATAACGGCTGTCCCACCCTTCAAACCGGAGCTAATGATTTCTCTACTCCTACGAGCTCGTGATGTTTCCTATCAACAATAATGTTGATTAATAATCGCTATGTGATGGTATAATACAAAGCTATTTACGCAGAGATAAACTTTTAAGTTGAATAATTAATTATACCTAATACATTGTTACGAAGTTTGAATCGGTTTCTTGTATATTATAATCCTATTGATAATTAAAATAATTACTTAAAATTAAAACTTTACTGGTGGTAGGACGACTTGTGAGTCCGCGCGGGTAGGTACCACCATCCTGCCTATTTCTGCCGTAAAGCAGTAATGCGTTTCGGTTTGAATACTTGACACCTTAGAACTTACATCTCAAGGTGGGTGGCGCATTTACGTTGTAGATGTGTATGGGCTCCAGTAACCACTTAACACCATGTGGGCTGTGAGCTCGTCGACCCATCTAAGCAATAAATAAAAATGCAATAAAATACGACATAGGCAAACCTTGGTCTTGGTCTGAACCGTTTCCGTGTGGGTCTGCCACGTCGGGGAGAGCGTGGGAGGCGCTTCCGTCCTCGTCGACCCTTTCTTCTAACTTTCGCAGATTCAGTAGTGTTTTCAGCAGCTGGCTGATCATCCACCAATATCACTATCGGCGGTATTGTTGTCGTCTCAAATGTAGTTGTAGTTGGCAATTCTGTTGTAGTTTCCGTTTCAAAAAAGTCTTCGATTTTTCCATCTCGCACGTCTATCTCGTGCATATCAAGAAATTGCTTAGAAAATCTAAAAATAAAATATTATTTAAAACTACTATACTAAATAAAAGAGAAAATTCAATAAATTGATTAATTGGTATATAATAAATTCGATTGAATTCATCGGTGGAAGGAAGTGTTACCTATGTTCCAGTATGCTTTTTATTTTCGACCCAACAACGTTACAACACGTTGTTGGGTCCGTATGGGCTCCTGTTACCATTTAACACCAGGTCGGCCTAGTGTTTGTTCAATGTTTAAGCAAATACTTATACAAAGTCTCGCATGTATTACATAATAGCTGTTCTTAAATCAGAAAAACTCATCACCTCACGATAGAAACAAGCTTATACATACCTACTACCTGCACGAAATTACGAAACACATCCACCATTGCAAAGAATGTTACGGAGACTACATCCCATTGACATCGTCACTAAATTACTTAAAAATTCACTGAGCTCATCTGAATATTGACGTTATTTAAAAAGACGCATACCTCTCAGCCCATTGGAAGTTATCACCGCAACCGCCCCATTTAAATCTAGCGTACGGTTCAGCGGGAGACAGTTGTGCTTGTCTCGGTGGGCGGGGTGGAGCCCGTGGCGGAGATGCACAGGAACAGGCAGGTAAAGAGCCCGCAGCGCAGGCCCTGGCCAAGGACCAAGCCAAGGCAGCTGCTGACATCGCATACACGTAGGCCTGCTCGCGAGTACCTGCAATGAAATTATCAAAGGACATACATAATTTGAGAGTCTGTTTGAAGTGAAACTTCTAATGCGACTTCCAACAAGGTTGCGTTAAACGTTTAACGCTAACATACTAGAAAGAGACAGAGCGAGAGTGAATGCGTGGCACTCGAATGCATACGCATAGTATACCTGTTACAGGCCAGCGCGAGCGTTAACAAAGAGAAGCGTCCAATATTTTAAATGATGTATGTATTTAAAAAAAATATATGTATTTATTTTTCTATCTATAATTTAAAATATCATCTCTTATACACAGCATTCCCTATTACAAAAGCAATCTGATTTAAGGATGAAAAATGAAGAAAACCACAATACTACACATCGAAAAAGAAGTTTCACTTCATTCACGTGCACCAAGTTGCACGTGCACCGTTTTTTATTTTACCTACTTTTTTGTAATTGCTATTTTTGTTATCACTATTAGAGAACGAGCCCACAGTCATCTTAGTGTTGTTTTTTTAATTTTTTTATTACCTACCACAGACCCCCTGGTGCTAAGTGGTTACTGGAGCCCATAGACATCCACAACGTAAATGCGCCACTCACCTTGAGATGTAAGTTCTAAGGTCTCAAGTATAGTTACAGTCACAACGGCTACTCTACCTTTCAAACCGAAACGCATCACTGCTTCACGGCAGAAATAGGCAGGGTGGTGGTACCTACCTGCGTGGACTCACAAGAGGTCGTACCACCAGCGACCCAGCTTGAGAAACAGGGTCGAAGTCACAGTCGTGTTATATAACAGCTGTCCCACTCTTTAAACCGGAATACATTATTGCTTTGCGACAAATACAGACAGATTGATTGTACTAATCCGCGAGATTTTACAACACACCTTACCACCTCATATTTCAACTTCTTTATATTTTATTATTACTAATTAACTTAAATAAATAAGTGTTTTCAATAAGGGTATTTAGAAGATTTTTGGAACCGAAAACCTTTCTCAAATAAAAATAGGGAGTTACCGAACGTGGAGACAATGAACCCGAGGTTAACGGTAAGCAGTCGACCGTGCGGGACTTTATGCGTTAATTTTTATGGTAAACCAAAGCAAATCATCCCACGTTACATTCAGCCTCAGGAAATAAACCTGTCCACCTGTAAGCTTATATAACGAAAATATACCGCAAGCGGAAGATGCAAAATATCTTGGCATACATCTGGATCGAAGATTGACATGGCAAAAGCACATCTGGTCTAAGCGAAAACAATTCGACATAAGGCTAAGAAATATGTACTGGTTGACTGGACGGAAATCCCAACTTTCGCCAACAAGTAAAATTTTAATTTAAAATACCATCTTAAAGCTAATATGGACATATGGCATACAGCTTTGGGGAACTGCCAGCAATAGCAATGTCGAGATCCTTGAAAGGTTTCAAAATAAAACTTTCAGAACAATGCTAAGAATACCGCATTACATAAGCAACAAGATCATACAAATGGACCTAAATATTCCCACAGTGAAAGAGGAAATAGTAGCTTACAGCAAAAAATACCAAGCCAGGTTATCGATACACGTCAATAAATTGGCGTCGGACCTAGGAGGCACAGGAGCAGTGTAGTTTACTAGATTAAGGAGGCACAGTATACCTACCTTACAGAACAGAAATTAAATCTAACAATAAAAGATGAAGGTTTCACTGGACATCTGATTCTGTTTATATATCTATTAAGAATAAATTCAGCCAGAGGAATAGCTCATTGTTAACTGAAAAACAGATCGCTACGAGACATTAAAACAAAGGAGAAAAAAAATATATATGGTGGATTATGGTTTATAATCATGGCTGTGTAGAATATACGTATGTACATCACGGTTTCCGACTATGTTTCACTGATCCCCTATGTCCGTTAAGCTCGCGCTTATTGACTTTAATCTTTTAGTTCCAGATTCGTTGCAGGCTTACGAATTATTAAAATTTGTGTTCTATTATTTGTGCTCAATAATTCATTTTTTTGATCGCAAACAGTTGCAACGTACCTAAATACAATGCTAAGAGTGTCTCGAATAAAATTGCCGTGACATGAAAGTCATGAAATTTCGAGCATAAGCTTCACAAATAAAAAGGTTTTTGATACTATCTAAGATGTTCTTTGAAAAGAGTAATTACATTCAGAAACAACTCGATCTTGATATTTCCCGCAGGCTAGTCGCTGAGCGGAGGCAAACAATAGCGCTCGATGAGCTTATCGCTAGCTATCGCTAAGAGCATCGGCTAGCACGGGGCGCGAGTGAGTGCACACGGCTACCACTGAATGACGTCTCCCTACCTAAACCACCCCCATATCACCGGCCCTACACGTTTGATTCATGCGTATAATTAAATCTTTTGTTCGTATCGCTGTACCCTGGGCCTCAGAGCCTCGCTGATTGCAAAGTAAGGCGAGCCCGATAGCCTTTTTGATTGAACAGAACAGAGATAACATTCACGGTCCGTGAACGCGATTTCTTCTCATCAATAAAGATAACGATCGATTTCTAAATGTAAAAGCAATCAGAAAAGTTTTTAACTTGTCTAAAAGATGTATCTATAACCAGACGAAGTTTCAGAGTAATTAATATTTTGTAAGTAAGTACCGCATTAAACTAACGGCGAGTTTGGAAATATGACTGTAGCAGCAGTAGTAAATTTATACATTTTCAAAGTAATTGAGGCGGTTCAATTATTACCGTTTATACTTTAACGATTGTCAGTTCCTAGATTATTTTATACTCGGATTCAAATTTAGATGGTGTATTTCGAAATTAATGGTGTTCTGGTTGGTGGAATTAATGGTAAATTTTTGCTACACAGCTATGACAATCGGTAAGCCTGAAATTATCTTTATTGCGCTTACGGACAGTTACATGTAATGAATTCAATCAATTACATATTTTTTTGCGCCATTTTCAATTTACAATATCGTGATGATATTATCGTCGTGTGTAATCTTGTCATTAGTTCCGACTCTGTGCACAAAAGACCTAGAGAAACAATTTAGTTTTCTTTAACTCAGGACATCGGTTCTCAGATCACATCTCAGAAAAAAAATCCTTTTTAGAAAAGAAGAGCTTCTCTCACACGAAAGCTATACGAACAGCTATGAGAAAGCTAGGATAAAGATTTGGCAAATTCTGTTTTCGTAAAACCTAAGATGTGCTTTTTAATGATTCGGAATCTAGTTTTATCAAAAAAAAACCGACGGAATGTACAATGAAAGGGAAGAGGGCAAAGTTACTGCAAAATGTCTTGTCGACTTCTCTCCATAGAATTCCGCCTTACAGAATCGTTTTTAATTTCTATCAGACGAATAAAACAAAGAAGAAAAATTTGTTAAAAAAAATTGGTCTCCACATTTTCTTACCCTAAAATCTGTCGTTCTAGGCGCAAATCTACTGAATAGGCTGAAATTTCTGCTACTGAACTTGGCTAAAAAGGAAGAACGTGACAATTTCCTATTTTTTTTTTTATCTATTTCAGTTTTCAAGCAATAAAGCTTATGGCATTGACGTTGTGAGCTCCCTAAATAACCATATAATCATCACGTACTTGGTAAGATATTTGCTTGTCTTAAACAAAAACAAAAACAAAAAAGCCTGCATTATAAACAAAATAATATTAATTATAGCGATCCGGATTGATTAAATTATTGTGAAGAATCGATAAGTTTCTAGGTAATGTCTACTACCGTTAATATTCAATAAAAAGTATAAAAGTCTCTGTAATTCATCGCTTCCACTGTATTAAATGAAAAGCTATATTCTGTTCGAAATTACGAAGGCCGCTGTAGTTATTTCCTTCGTAAAACTTTTAATTAAAATGTATCAAGTCGGGACCGTTCCAAAGGTTCTTGTCGGTCTTATTGGTTGTAGCCGACTACGTTCCGTGTCAATTAATTTCCTAAAGTGGTTAGACGGACGTTGAAGCGGTGAACGGTGACTAAAAACAATGCTTTGTATTTTGCAGCCGGTGGCTTGCATCCGGCACTCGCTGCCAACAACACGACATCGCCGTCTACGCCAAAACTTTAAAAACTTGGCCATTGTTTCTTTGCTTTTATATTCTTCATTTTTTTTATTTTTGTTTTTCCCTGTTTAAACGAAGAACTTCGCTGTCTGGAAGGTTCGGACTGTTGTTTTTTGCTATAGAAAATTCACTAGATGTAACTAACTACTTGCGGTAGGGCGCATTGTGAGCCAGCACGAAAGAGTTCCGTCATCCTCACCTTTCTGTATAGCATAGCAATTCAGACTGCGTGATATCTTCTGTAAATAAATAACCTTTCGGAAACACTCCACACAAAAACGGTACTCCTTCGAAGCTTAATTATAATGCCTTGTCGTTTAAAAGACGACTTAGGTTTATTATCTATGACAGGAATTAATAATAGAGTAATAATTTCAAAATTAATTGACCAACGAGTGATAAATATTGTTTATGTGTCATGTAAATAAAGCAAGTGCTGGAAGCGGAACGATACGCTATTGTCTAGTTAAAAAGGGTGCTGTCGTTCCGCCGGAAGCTTCTGCACAATGTAGGTATGGCATTTAATATAAACTCTTATAGTTTAAAGATCTTAATTTTATGTAATTAAATTTAATTACGGACAACAAGAGATAGGATTGTTTATGTGCCTATTTTGGCATCTAAGACATATTGGATACAGGTAATGATGATTTACATTGTCACTTCTATGTAAAAAGACGGAAGGAAAATCAATAATAGCCTCGAAATCATCTAGTACGAGTATTACAAAAATTGTCTTTTTACGTTTATGGAAACCAATAATATAAGCCGTGTACTAATCAAATTGCGTAATCTACTTCCTCGTCTTTCGTTCATAGTATTGATAACTTACTCTTATTATCCTGTCGAGCTTTCCACGCCCATTTTTTTTCTATTTTGAGTATCAGTAGTATATCTCATGCTATGTTAATAATACTCATGTCCTAATTACGCTCCGAAGTTATCATGCCTTCCGGTTCACCGAACAGGATAGGTCTTATTCCAATGTAACTGAAACTTTGTCTTTGTTTTTATAAGAGTAACGACGCGGTATTTACGCTGTGGTGTTGTATGATTTTAAAAGCCAGGGTTATCACAAGATATCCCGTGGGCTCGACAATATCCGCTAATAAATAAGACATTTACAAAGAAAGTATAATAGATGGATGGGTAGTGTGTAGAAAAAATTTAATAAATCTCCAAACCTGTTAGTAAGTCAGGGGTAAACTTAGGTGCGAGTTCAATGGATGAGCAGTTCCATCTTTCCCCAGCGTGAGCCGCGAGGCAGGCGGACCTGGCAAGTCGTGCGGCTGCAGCCACGTGGGGCATGGCAGAGTGATGGCGGCGGCATGCGCGGCTTTGTTCGCTCCATAGTACTCCGCTGCGCCGCGACTCCAAGCAGTCATTTTCTGTCCAATTACCTTGACTCTCGTGCAGAGCTCTGAATTAAAAATATATAAGAATTTACGTTGTCTCCTCAAATGCTTTTTTGTTTTAAGATATAAACGTGGCAAGCCTCATCGTTTCTGCTTTTGAGATTGATCGAAGAAATTATTTTTTGGAAATTAAATAAACTCTAATATTAATGTAGAACTAATTAATTTAGAATTGATGTAAAGTTTTATGTAGAAGTTACTATCCTTAGAATTTTTACATTCAATAAGTATGTTTTGTGACATACCTACCTGTTAATTTTGAATTAGAAAGATTCAATATACTCGTATGTTTGTATGCTATTAGTTGTATTGTCAAGGAGTGTGGCGTAAACCACTTTACATAAATTGGGCCGTGAGTTCATTAACCCATCAACGAAGCTATAAATAAATAAAAATATATAAAAGAAAATACGTATTCTACGTTTAATATTTATTTCATTATTCGTAATTACAATTGAGTATTCTTGATTAAAAGTTTTATTTAAAAAAATCACATAATTTATTTGTTAAATTTATTGAAATGGCAGTGTCAAATGTTCGCTAACGCTTAAAAAAATTAAAAGTCTTTAATACATTTTTTTGTCTTTCGAATCTACATTTTGAACGTTTAATTTTTCAGATCGTCTTGAAGTTTCTGGTCGTTGTCCGCGGTGGAACGCCTCGCACATATCGTATAGGTAATTTGGAAGGAAGTCCGCTGACTCGCCTTCTCTACGGCGTAGCACACGGTATGCGTCTCGAAGCGTAGGCTTCGGAGTCAGCCGTAGCTCCAGCTCTACGGCTGTTGGGAAATGTGCTGCGAGCGAATATACTATTTCCAAATCGGAAGGCGGAGGTGTCAAGTGACGATAGTTGGATACTTTGTGCAGAAAATATTCTGACATGCTCATCCGAGAATCGCTTTCATCATATTTCCCCAATTTCAAGTCGTACAACACAGCTTTCTGACGATCTGGTCCCCAAAATTCTTGTTCGAATGCCGCGTAAAAACTTTCGACGTCTTTGAATTCGTTTCTGAAGCATCGCGTCCACATTAGTGGTACTCCTTCCAAGCAGGAAATTATAAACGGAAGTTGTTTTTCCTCCAACATTTTCAATTCTGATATATAGTATTTGATGTTTTCTATGAAATCCATAGGATGCGTATCACCGTTATCATCAAAATGCGGTCGCTTATTAATAGACGCTACTATCCAATCGTTGAGGTTCTCTGTTGAAATTTGTATAGTGGATTTGCTGCTTTTATAACTTTTTTCTTCGTCTAATTCCATTATTTTGGGTCTATCGTCAAATCGTGATGAATTTTTTTCAAAGCTGGTATCAGCTTTACCCAAATTAGGTAAAGACATATGACTGTGCAGTCGAGATGATGGCAACTTACGGTAGATGTCTTCTTGGCTAGAGAAACGAACTCCAAAACCAAGAGTTGTCGGTTTGTAAATTGAACTGCTAAAGAATGTTGAATCTTCTTTTCTTGGAATATCGTTCGCTAGCTTTTCTTTACTTGACGCTATCTTGTCAACCATCTCTGAAAGATTTGTTACGGAAGAGTTGATTTGTCGCAAATCAACAAATAAACTCATGTTATAACTATCCCGTGCGCTACACTATCAGTACTTTTCAGTTGTCATTTCCAAAGCTGAAGCGCTGCAACAAGAAGGTATCATGATCAATTAAAATTAGAGTTATCTACAACTTTTATATCCAATTCTAATTTTGATCTACTTTTTTGAGTGCTGACTTTATTTTGTGATATTAGGATTTTATTTAAAATTATAGGCAATCTACTTGTCTTTATCATTATCATAAAAATGAACCTATAAATCACGCTTTGACACAACAAAATCGGTCGGCCATTTTGTATGCTTATTTTCAGTTTCATTCAAATTAAAAAAAATATTTCCATGAAACGTGATTCTGGTGTTTACTTACAAACATGAACAATGTTGTTATTTTAAACAATGCCAAGCTTGTTAAGTAGCAAGGCGCATGAATAAAATTATATGTCCCAGTGCGATCGAAATCAGTGCGTCGGCAGCGTAATTCTAAACGAGTAAACTTACGTGCGGCGGCGGCGGACGGGGAAACAGTACTATTCGCCTTGGAGGGATAGCGAGTGCTCACAGCACAGCTTTTTATGCAAACCTTACGATAACTGGGTTATCGGATTTGGAATATTAAATTTCATTGACGTTTTGTGTTGCCTGCCAAGGCCACGTGTCGCAAAAGGTATCGTGCACAATATTGTACGATACAGCTTCGATATTTCACGAATCGCGTGGATTCTAGATAGGTTTATGTGACTTCCTATTTTTTCTTAGTTTAAAGTTTGTTGAAAGTTGATTCCAGAGCGTGCATATTCATTTATGTTTATTGATTGAAATTGACAATTTAATGGTCCGGTAAACTTCGATTTTTATATTTTTTTATCACATTAACTACTCATCAACTAATTACCTAGCTCTAGCTATATAGCTACAATAGACATACGACGGGGCTAGTCATCTAATGCGAAGCATACCTGAGCTCACAGACACCACAATGTGAATGACACTACCGAACTTGAAGTCACAGAACAGTTACATTACCGTAACGGCTGCTTTGCGATCCTACCCTACAAACTCAAAAATAGTCAGGTTGGCGGAGCAGTACCAGAGCGATCATATAATATGCTGTTCCATCATTAGTGCTCAAGATATGAAGGGCTTAATAATAAGAGCGTTATGTGGGGAAATAGGCGAGGTCTTACTACCAACAGATTATAGAAAAGTAGAATCAGCAGCCCGGGTCGCGTAGTATAAATCCAGTCGGTCATAAACACTATAAAGTATAGTGTATTTATGAGAAATTCGATGTTTTTGGGACAAAAAGCAACAAAATTAATGAGCCGTAACGAAATTAATATCTGTATAATTATTTCGCTTTTATGATACGGGAACTTATTCCAGAGAAGCGACGCACATAGTCGCGCTCACATTGTACTCTTATCTGATTACATGATTTTTAAATCCGTTGAGTTTTAGAAAAGAACAATTTGCACCCTTTAACTAATTACCTACATTGCAAAGCTGTCGCCATGATGGACGTCAATTTATGTATATAGATGTATATAGTATGATGGACGTCAATTTATGTATATAGAACTACAATATACACGGTAAATAGTTATATCCAAATTTATCATTAGTCTAAATAATCGAAAACTATATTCCTTTCGTGCGTAATGCTTCTAATGTGTTCTAAGTTTGTTAATACGCAAAATAAAACAAATAAACGACAATTAACACAACGCAGAATGCTAAATATGACAACTTAACTAATTGTATTAGTCCAACAACTGTACACACGCGTTTTTGCTGAACCAATATTCGGATTTACGAACCTAAATAAGTTCAGCGACTCATAAAAATAAATAGACCGCTGGTGCTGCTCATTTTATTAACGTTTTGTTTCGCTTCCAAAACTGATATCCGGTAAAAATCACAAGGGAAGCCAGCACGCGACGTCAACTCTAGCGTGATGCGTGACGGGCGAACGATGCATAAGCTTCGTACCTTGACAAGTATTTACTGTACTGAGTTTGGTTATTTTTAAACTGTACATATTTATTTTAAAAAATGCTGTTCTAAGATTTTTAATACGCTTTTATTAGCTTCAGACGTATGTATGTCAGTATGTATTTTTGTAACGGAATTTTTGAACATGATTTTGACCCCCTTCAAAACGTCGGATTAACTTGAAATTTGGTATACTTATATTAAGGTATGATGATAATTCAATATAAAAAAAAATTAAAATACAACTAAAAAATGAAAAATAAACAATAGATTAAATAAACTAACAAAATATGCTTTTATAGAAAATACAACTAAAAAATAGATTATTTTTTTTAATAAATTTGAAAACTATTTGAAAAAATAGTGTAAGAAAAAAAGTGAAAGTGAAAGAAAAAAATGTTTTATTGTAAAAAAAAGCGGGGGTATGGTATCAGTAGTTATAAATATTTTATGAACAGATATGAGTAGAAGGGTTATTTTGATAATATCCTGAAAAGCACCCCACGCTTTTTATCAATAAAATCATTTTTTCTTATACTTTTTTTAATTTAGTTTTATTAAAATTTATTTTCTATTTTTTAGTTAGTTTTTCTATAAAAGCGTATTTTGTTAGTTTTTTTAAACTATTATTTATTTAATTTTGGCGTTTAGAAAAGATTACAGTCGCCACGTGACAACGAAAACTGTAACGTATTCGAAACGAAAAGTGATTTTATTATGGTAACTATGTATATATTTTTTTGTTTTAAAAGTCAAACTTTTTTATAAATTAACTCATTTATTAACGTAACAAATTTAAACATTACGCATAATTAGGTTCGCAGGAATCATGTCATAATGTTATATCGAAGTTGTACACATTAAAATTTGTTCAGAGCTAAATAGGAAATCACACAAAGACGTCTTAACACAGTTCCATAGAATAACATCGTCGCAATTGAGTCTGGACAGCGAGTCACGGTGGTGCGGGCATTAAGCATCACAGTCGTGGTCTATTATGGATAATTCATGTGGAAAGTAATTGTTCCGTTGTCGGGCCTTGTGCCGGGGACATTATCGCGTTCGTCACGCTGCGCACGTGTACGTTTGATCTAATAAAATAATTCCCGTATCAAATTTTACGCGCCTATCTAGATCCCGTAGACAAAGGATCCCGCAGGGGCTACAGAGATTCGCTTTGTAATAACTGGTCGCGTATACAATAGATCAACCCAATATTTTTTTTAATTCTTTGAAAATAAATGGGCTAAAGGTTTCAATGGAATATAATTGTAACAGATTTGTATACCAAATCGTAACTTTGTATTTATAATAAATTTATGTTGTGAATCAAAATTTAATGTGTTTTTGTAGCTTCGCAAAGCTGTAGTTTGATACATGTAAGAACGAAGTTTCTCAGTTTATTAATTATTAAATATTAATAAAAATTCCACAAACCGCTTTTAACA